CAGAGTAAATTTTATATGTATTTTTATAATAGAAGCTACCTCATATTTTATATAGGATAGGGTAGTTATAAAATATTCAATGTCACCACATTTCTATGTTTTCTTGGGAATACTGTTTCAACCAACTTGTTTGACCTTTTCACTTTCGCTTTTGATAAATGGACATAATATTTACACAAGTCTTCTTCGTCTAATTCACATAACTTGTCTCATACAAAAATGTTTAGAAATTTGGATTTTCCTCTTTACAGTTTGATAACATAATATTGTGCTCCGATAATTTCGAACTAATATTCTTATGAAGCAATTATTTATAAATTGAATTATCTAACCATATATTCTGAATTTTTTAAATATAATATGAAAGATATTGATATATTGTTGTTACTTTCTATAACGAGATGCATATTGCAATCTTTAACTTATTCGTATATTCGTGTATGCCCTATTTAATCCATCTATATATTCACATCATACTTTTGTGAACTGCAACTTCATTAAAAAAAATTCTCAATATTCTCCATTTCTAATGCTATGAACAGGATAGGTAAACCTTATGCGTCCAACTTTATTCTATTAAGAATCCTTGGTATAGAACTATAGAGACTTAACCTTTATAATTTCTTATCATACATTATTTGTTTCTTTTTAACTGTTTTAACAAGTTCTTATGATTGTTTTCAGAAATTATTCAATTTCATCTACCAAGAACAAATTCTCCCAAGCGAAACAAGGTGGACAAACTAATGAAAAATACAAAATTTATTGCTTGGATGGAGTGTAACAAGATATACCCAACTGCCAGATTCCTGCTCTACACTGAATTATCTCATCAATTTGTCTGGAATGCCACATTGCATGAGTGGAGGCCACGGGTTAAGGGTTCAGGAAATCCAACTATTCTTCAACAGTATTCAATTTATGATGGGAAAATTTTTTTATTTTGGTTGTCTGTTGAATATCATTAGAGGTCCTCGCAGTTATGAAGATATCCGAACAATTAATGGTGTTGTATACGACACCTTCAGAGAAGCTTGCTATGCAATAGGCTTATTCCCGGTCAATTAGATTTATATGTCTTTCTTAATATTAGTTTTAAAATTGCATGCTGAATCTTTATTTCAATAAGTTACTTTCATTTTGTTGTTTTTCATCGTCTTAATTTTTTAAATTACTTTTTATGTTGAATATCAGAAATAGTAAGGTAAATCATCTACTAAAGACTACATTTTCCATCGTTACATATTACATAATTAATACAACGCCAGTTAACCAATTAACATTTCATTAAATATACCGTTACTTATAATTTATAATTTAGTTAATAAACTGTTATAATTGTAAGTTTAATGTATTGTTGATGCGGATTAATCGTAACTTATTTGTTAATAAGATAAAATATATCTCAAATTTTGGAAATCTCTAATAAAATTGATGAACTTTTTAAATTTCAAATTTAAATGAAATACATAATATAAAAAAATGCGATTTGTTGTTATTTTAGATAATTGCTGCGATGAGATATAAAAAAATCTAACATTCCTGATAATTTGGAAAATTGTAATATTTTCAAATTAAAAAAATACCAATTAAAAGTTTTTTATGTCTTACACAATATTGGATCTCATTCGATGTAAATAACAATTTTCTACATAAGCAAGGACAGTTTTTCCTAAAAATTCCAGTGAATAATAAAAAATTAATAATAGCAAAAACTTATGAAAAAAGGTGTACATTTCTCATTACCTACTAATCAAAATTACTTGTATTTCTACTCTATTCAGATTGTGGTATAGAGTACTAGCAGTTTACTTCCTGTCGAAAGTGAGCATTCACAAGTAATATAATTATAATAACTCTGTGGCGACACAATGAATATAACAACTTTTTCTGATGTGATTCTCGACAGATGCACAAGAAATATTATGTAGGAAAAAGTGTATTTTTCTTTCATGTAAACATATTTTTTGTACGGCTGTCTGAGAATCACATCAGAAGAATAATTGTAGTATGGGTTGTGTTTGAGTAAGTAATTGTTTGCTTGGTTAGTTGATCAAAATTTTCTTATGGGGTGTATATATAGAATTCTTAGAGAGTGACTCCTCATTTTTCTTTGCTCTGTTTCATATTCCCCAAAAGTCGTTTATAATTACAACATATTAAATAACATTTGGCTGATTTATCACCATTTCCAAATGAATTTACATTTTGAAATAAATGAATACATCTTCGCATATAATTTATAAAATATGTTCATATATGTCACATTTTGATGAATAACTTATGATTTACGAACATAAAATTAATGTATGTATTTATAATTACATGTATTCTTCATCTACACTTTCTTCATTATACATATCTAATTATAATTACTTAATCAGTTATACATCACTTATTGTTTATATTTACATCAAAAAAAGTATAGCCAATTGGAAGACACAATCCAATTCTTGAACTAATAACTTACCATTCAGCCCAAATGTGGTAACACTGTACCCACACACTGTCAATTATCAATTTTATAAAATTCGACCCAATAAACTTAACAATATACCCAATACAAATAAAATTTATAAAAACATTCAAGCACACACATGCGTGTGGGCCAGTATATATATATATATATTATTTTTTAAACTTTTTTGTTAGATTTTTTTTAAATTTCAGTTTTTTTTGTTTTGAAACGATATTCAATTACTTTTTAAATAGTTTCCATTTTTTTGTTTCTTTTAACATTTTTGTTAGATTTTTTCTAAATTTTGGAAACACTGGTAAACATTAAGACATAGATTCCATTTTTTATTAAAAAAAAATTTGGTTATATATAGTTTTAAAAACGGTTTGATTGACTATTAAATTAAACATTAAACCATAATAATTTAGATCGTTTTGTTTTTTTTTTATATATCATCAAATAAGAACCAATCAAAAAATAACATGTAATTGCAAAATATGACTAAATGATTTTTTTACAGCCGAAATTCATTCTGGAGCTGACACGTGAGCGAAAGACTGAAAATCGTTGTGAGCATGACACATATAAAGTTCTCATTTTTCAATCAAAATTGAGCAAATCTAATTTTGCAGAGAGAAGTACAATAAAAGTTGAATCTTGTCTACTGATTGAGATATTTGTCACGCTTTTGATAACGATGTAGCTACTAGCTAGTAGTGAATATATGACAGTGATTTAGGGCGTTTCTAGTTTCATCATAACTAGATTTTACCCCGTGCATTCGCACAGAAATTTTGTTTTAATCAAAATTTGTAATCTAATTTATGTTTTCTTTATAAATATAATTTTTAAATAAATTATATAAAAAATTTGTGTTTAGATATAATTTTTTTTCAGTATTATTATGACTACCATGATCATAAAAACATAATTTTAACCCGGTTTAGTAAAAAAGTGACCGTTATTATAAAATTATATTTCTAACTCGCTCATTTTATTAATCCGAAAAAATCATGATTATGAAACCATAATTCTAACCCGTCCGTTTTATATTACTTTATAATATAAATATTTACTAAATTTAAAATAATTTTCTAATAATATCTTGCATGCTTTGATAATCTAATCCGCATAAGATCATAATTATAAAAAAAATTAACTTCAAATTATTATATAATACTAATAATTATCTATTTTCAATATGTGAAATTTTAATTTGATAGAATATGATTAAAAAATATAGTAAGATATTTGTTAATCATATGTGTTATTCTGAAAATTTTATTTAAATTTCAAATGTTAAATTAAATCTAACCTATATTTAAGGAATTCTATTTAAAATAATATCTATAGACTATTTATATATATATATCCTATATTTAAGGAAATTTTTAGTTATCTAAATTAATATTTAATTTTCAGAATTAAATTTATATATATATATATAAATATTTTTAAATAAAAACTTTGGGAGTGTTTGAAAACAAATATTAAAAGTGCTTCTGTTTTAATATTATAGATGTATGTTTAGTCTCATTGTTTTTTGAATGAGAGTTATGACGAGTTTTTTTTTTGGCTAAATTACGATGAGTTATAGTGCTTATAATCTCATTGTTGTTATGCCCATTTATTCTTGTAGTGATGGACATTAATTCATATGCGATATATATATATATATATATATATATACGTATTCTAGATCATCTTGTTTGCTTTCCAGTCCTTAATATTGTATGCATGTTTTACAAAATTCTATATATAGATAAACATGTATGATGTATGTATAGGTTCGAATGATGATGCAACGACACTAAATAAAGCATTAGATATTTAGATTAGTTATATCGCTGGGTTTTTTAGAAATAAATCGTCTATTAATTACTGTACTGTGTTACGAGTGTCATCAAGCCTGTGGAAAATTCCTCTTTAGGTAAAAATTAAGGATGTCCACTTTTTATTATGAGTTTGCAAATGTAGTTGTCCACATGCGTATATCAAATCTATATATTTTACAACATTTTACTAGACATGCTTTGGTATGAAGTAACAATTATACAATTGCAACTTGTTCAAAAAAACCCTGGCGATATCGAAAACCCGTAAAAACCCACATGGCCACATATATAATCCTGAGAATTAAATTATGTATCAGTTAGCTAATACTATGTGATAATATTGGTCAGTATATAATTTGATTAAGTTGATACTAATCTGGATTAACGAGGTGTAGCTCCATTTTTCAAGGATTACCGCGCGAGATTTTCTAGATGGAAAACTGCGTAGATTTCAGATTACTAAGTATATTTACATGTGAAATGTTAAGTTGGAGTAGCGTGCATTTTGTTCAGACGTGCTCTTCACGTAAAGGTAGGTCATGGGTAAGTGCAATGGGGACTTGATGAATTAATTAAAATAGTGAGAAAAGACGTTTTCACTAGCTATCACAACTGATCAATAATTTAATTCTATTGCTATTTTGCTATATAAAGAGCCGAGTGTGCAATGTACTTTGATTTCAGGTGAACTAAAAGTACAGCCAAATATGAGTTTGTGCTCTTATCTCAGCGACAAATTAGACGACGAGAAGGTTTTGGAGGACTTGACGTCCAATGTGAAGCAAATACAAGACCATGTATTGAAGGAGATACTCACACTTAACGCTAACACCGAGTATCTTCGGCGTTTTCTACATGGGAGTTCTGATAAAGACCTTTTTAAGAAGAATGTTCCCGTGGCGACCTACGAGGATGTGAAGCTTTTTATTGAGCGTGTCGCAAATGGAGAGTCCTTTGATGTTATTTCTGGCAAACCCATTACCGGATTCCTCCTAAGGTACGTATATACTTCTTTTAAATGGTATAGTAACTTTATAATTGGTTGTTTGATCGATCTGATGTTTTGAGGGACTTAAGAATCAATGCTCTAATTGGTTTTTGAATGTAGTTCGGGAACTTCCGGTGGAAAACGGAAGATGTTTCCTCATAACAACAAGTACTTGGAAAACTTGAGATTCATCTATTATTACCGCTCGCTCGTTATAAGCAAGTAACGATTGGAAAAACTTCTTCTTGTCATGTTTTTTTTTTTAATAAAACATTTTTTGATTTGTAAAATTAATGATGAGAGCCTCTTTTGGTTTCATAGGCATATAGATGGTCTAGAGCATGGAAAAGGAATGGTGTTTAACTTTTGTACACAAGAGTACACAACTCCTTCTGGTTTGCCAGCCTCATCTGCCACGACGAGTTTCTTCAAGAGTTGTTATTTCAAGAACCGATCATCGCATTGGCATTGGTCATTTACAAGTCCTGATGAAGTCATATTGTGTTCAGACAACAAACAGAGCTTGTATTGTCATCTTTTGTGTGGTATCATTCAAAGAGACGAGGTTGTCAAGGTTGGTGCTTCTTTTATTTCTATCTTGGTGAGAGCAATAATTTTTCTTGAGAACAATTGGAAGGAAATTTGCACTAATATCCGTTTTGGTCGTCTTAGCGAGTGGATCATTGATATTAGTTGTAGGGACTCTGTTTCAAAGATCCTTGGAAAAGCTAATCCTGAATTGGCTGATCTGGTAGAAAAGGAATGCAACCAAAAATCATGGGAAGGTATAATCCCAAGACTTTGGCCTAAAGCCAAATTCATTGAAAGCATTGCCACTGGTCAAATGACTCAACACATCCCAACATTAGAGTTTTACTCTAATAAGCTACCTTTGATTTCGTCGAGTTATGTTTCTTCGGAAACAATGTTTGGGATTAACATGAACCCTCTATGCAAACCACAAGATGTGTCATACACGTTCATGCCCAACTTGTCATATTTCGAGTTCCTACTTGTTGACGCAAGTGACGAAGTCGAAATTGTTGATCTTGTGGATGTTAAGTTAGGGTGCTATTACGAGCCATTGATCACAAATCATTCTGGTGAGTTATTTTGCCACATGAAGAAAAAAGTAGATATGAATATGCATTCTCAAGAGTAATACATTTTCTATCCTTCTTTTTTTTTGCTAGGCCTACACAGATATAAGATGGGTGACATTTTAGAGGTGACTGGATTTTACAATAGTGCACCTCAGTTTAGATTTGTGCGTAGAGGAAATTTGGTTCTAAGTGTTTATTTGGAGATAACTACGGATGAAGATCTTTTGAATGCGGTGACACAAGCAAAGATGGTTCTTGAATCATCAGATTTGATGTTGATGGAGTTCACAAGCTATGGTGATATATCTACTACTCCAGGTCACTATGTTCTTTATTGGGAGCTCAAAGGAAAATACCACAATGACAGTATTGAGATTGATAACAAGGCTTTAGTAGAATGTTGTTACGTGGTGGAGGAATCCTTGAACAATTTATATAAAGAATTCAGGAGGGACAGATCAATTGGAGCTCTAGAGATAAGGGTGGTGCAACAAGGAACTTTTGATGATCTCATGGAGTTTTTCCTCACTCAAGGTGCTTCTTCAACGCAATACAAAACACCCATTTGCATCAAATCTTCCGAGGCCTTAACCATATTAGAAAGAAAAGTTTATGCTCGATTCTCTACCGATAAGTCCCTTTCTCTGAAATTTTCATCATGATCTTTATATTTTGTATGCTTTGGAATAAAACTTTGCGGAAAATAATATGACATGAGTCAAAACTCAAGCATTTTCGATCTTATTTTATGTTGTATATTTGTTAACACTTAACATGCGATTTGGTTTGTACTAATCATGTGGCTATATATGTTCTACTTTTGCTAATGCCAAGGATTAAGGAAGATCTTCTGCAGTATAAATATATTAATTGACCTTGCAAACCTCCTTATTGAGATATATAAATGTTGAGCATGGTAAAAATCGAGTAAGTGACTAAAGAAAACATTGAACAAAAACTGACACTGAGCGAAACCGCGAACAAAAACTGACACTAAGCCTATTTTTCTTAAATATCTTTGATTGGTAAACTATGTGCGTTTTTTTTATGGCCATTTTTGAAATCCACACTTTTACTTTCATCATTCATTGCCTTAATGAACAAACTTACATGACGAAATAAAAATTTAGAAAAAACATAAAAGTTGGGTTCCACGATCGATAGGTCCAAGTTGGGCAAAAAATAACTGTAATTTAAATAGGATTGAAGAATCTATTCGTTAAAATTTTGTTGAGATGGTTGATCCATGTAGATGCTATGAATATCTTCTTTTATATTCATAGTTTCTTTTGTTAGTCTAGATCTTCCTCTCATATAATAATGTGTCTAAAGGATTTGTTTAATTCAACATATGTATATGTTCATAAGCAAGATCAGAGTCGGTTTTAAGATTTAATAAATTTAAATCAAGCATAAAATTTGATGGTGTACAAAATTTGAACATAAAATTTTGATTAATAGTCACACTTTGTTAAATGATATAAACCAATAAATCTTTGTGGCCAACCTTACATGCTCGACAATCTGTTTGCTATGATCGCCTGGTACTTCTGGTAAGACTTTCACAAATAAGCTTGACTTAGGACCAATGTCTTTGATGTGCTTACAAACTTCTTTATCAACAAGCTTTTTTATTGCTGAGATGCGACAAAAAATTTAAATTTGATGTATTTTTTAAACTTTGCCTCTTTGAACCCTAACCTTTGTACCCTAAAGTTACTCTTCTTGGGACGTGCTTGTAAGGAGAATTATCATCTCCATGAAATCTTAGTGAATCAATAATATTCATACATGACAAAAACATAACGGTCCAAAACCAATTTTCATACATGACGAAAACATAACGAGCCAAAACTAATAATATTTATACATAGACGAAAACATTAATAGTTCTGCACGAGTTGAGAAAGGTTTGTTACTAGTCAGGTGGCTATGTTCTACCTTTTCAAATGCCATATTTCACGGATTAAGGAACTTTCTTTTGCAATATAATGTCCTTACAAACCTCCTTATTAAGATATATACGTGATGAGCATGGAGATAATCGAGACAGTGATTAAAAAATATTGAAAAACAAACTGACATTAAGTGATTCTTTGAATTTTTTCCAGTTCATCATGTTTCATTGTATTTTAATGAATTTTACTTAGACGGCCTAAGAAGAAAAGCATAAAATTTGGCTCCACGATCGGTAGGCCCAAAGGCAACACATGTTAACGTTAGACCATTTCCAATCCTACTCCAAATTTTACTGCAAAATAGAGTTTGCAGCAAGATTATCTCCAACCCTACTCCAATTCTCACTCCAAAATGGAGTAAAAAATGGAGTTACTTCAAATATGGAGCAAAAAATAAAATTTCTCTATTTTTTTTATCATAACTCCATTTTGGAGGAAAAAATGGAGTTTACATTGGAGTAAAACCCAACTCCATTTTGGAATTACTCCAAAATAAAGAAAAATATGCAGTCATACATTGGAGATGCTCTTAAAAAATATCAGAAAAATGTTACGAGAAAGTTTTTTTTTACAAAAGGGAATTAGAAACTTGTGCAATTGAGGAAAGTATTATTAATGGATGCTGCCACTAATGTTTTGCCATTTCGACATCTCTGAAGGATTTAATACAATTAATTTTGTCATCTTTTGTTATTATTTGGTGCAAGAAGAATTAATGAATTGATTCAAAATTTAAGAGAACGTAATTATGTTTTTGGTTAATATTTCTTGATTTTAAATATCCATGAGTAGACGGAAACAGAATATGTTAACGTATTTTACAGGGTTTTTTTTTATGTTTGTTGTCAACAATTATAACATAAGATTTGTGTTTTTTTTAGTAGTAGTATGCTAATATGGAGAGTATTTTTTTTACTAGGAAATAAATTTCTCGACGAAATTTCTTAATTGTTGTCATTCCATATATACTCGTACAAATTTTTCAGTTTTCTCTCCGAGATAAACTACCATAAACGTTCTGGTGAAATTACAAATTAATAGCATGTATATTTATCAATAAAATAAAAACATGTATACAATGGACTCTCTTTATTCATAAGGCAAACAGTAATTATTAGGAAGTTTGTTTTTTTGTAACTGTTTTTTGTTGGTCACAGAATATAACTTTATAGCTGTAACTTACTATTACCGTATTTCGTCAAAAAAATATTACTCTTACTGTAGTTTGAGTTAATATTTTTCCGCAAACAAAATTTAGAGCTATGGAGTAATATAAGTTGGGGTCATAGGTGTGTCGTCAGTCTTAATTACTGTTTACAAATTACGGAAAAACTTAGTGCTATATAACATTTATGATCAAAGATCCCAAATACTCCTTTCTCAAAAAAAGAAAAAAATATCGCAAATATTCATTCAAACACGTATACCAAAAAGAGATACTAATAAATCACATCGTTATAGGAAATGGAAACTTTCTCAACTAATAGGGGTAATCAATAGAAACTAGAAAGAAAACAAAAAAGGTAAATAAAAATCAGTGAGAATCATTGTGATTTTAAATAAGTATCCAAATCACAACCACTTATATATAGGCACATATCAATTTAAATTCTGCAAAACCAATAAAATCAGCATCCAAATAATTACATTTAGACGAACCGGTTAACTCGGTTTGATTAAAAAAAAAGACGAACCGGCTAACTCGGTAAACCAGTAATTAAACGCGTTTAGGGATTACCAAAATCCCCAAAATCCTCTTTTAATTTGTTTGTGTCTGACCCTAATTAATAAACTAATAAATTAGCAGAGAATAAAATCCACATTTTTCTCCACCTCTTTGTCAGAGAAGTTTCAAAAACCAACATACATACACACTTTACACACTCTTCATCTTCTCCTTCCCTTTCGTTGTCTTCTTCTTCTTCTTCTCCTCGATCGTTTCGATTTTGCCTCCATAATGTTGTTTCCGTAGCCGAAGATCAACGAAGCAGAAGCGAAAAATCCTACTTTCCCAAGCAAAAAATAATTAAAAAAATGGCGGCGGCTGATTTTCCCTCGCGGTTTTCTGTTCTCGCTTTCGTCTTCACCTTCGCTCTTCTCTCTGGCTTTTCTCTCGCCAGCGATCCTTTCGTCTCTTACGTTTTCAAAGTATCTTACGTCACTGCTTCTCCTCTCGGCGTTCCTCAACAGGTTTCGTCTCGCTTTTACTCTCCTTTTACCTTTTTCCCCTGTGAAATCGCGTTTTTTAGGGTTTTTCGCTGTAATCTGCTCCTTTTTAGTCATTAGGTAGTGATTTTGGTCCTCGATTTTGCTCAGACTCGTCTTTTTTTGCTCCATTCATCTAAGATACGGTTCGTAAGAGGCGGTTATCGCAAGTTTACTGGGTTTTAGCGAGTGTTGATCTGCTTCCTTTTCAGTATTGATGTTACAGAATCACGATTTTTGATCTGAAACATCCTCTTTTTGTTCGATCAAACGCAACGAACTGTTCTTATACTTTAGTGTTGATTTGGGGTTTTTAGAAAACTAGTACTGATTTTTTTTGCTAGCTTTGGTGTTACATACACTGTTTATAAGCCTATTTGATCGTAATTGTTCCTTTGCAGGTTATAGCCGTCAATGGAAATTTTCCAGGCCCTTTGATTAATGCTACCACAAACTACAATGTCAAAGTTAACGTCTTCAATCATTTGGATGAGCCTCTCCTACTCACTTGGTGATGATCTTTAACATTTTTTGTTATTTTGTTCTCTGATTCAATGCTGCAGAGTTTAAGGCTTCATGTGCTTTCATGACATTCCTCTTTTTTTTTGTGTTGTTTCAAATTCTGATAAGGCCTGGCGTTGAGATGCGGCGTAACTCGTGGCAAGATGGTGTTCTTGGCACAAATTGTCCGATTCCTCCGAGATGGAACTTCACTTATAACTTTCAGTTGAAAGATCAGATTGGAAGTTTCTACTACTTCCCCTCACTTAACTTCCAGAGAGCTTCTGGTGGATTTGGTCCGTTCATAGTCAATAACCGGGAACTTATTCCTATCCCGTTCCCTAAGCCGGATGGCGAAATCAGCTTTATGATTGGTGATTGGTATACTCAGAACCATACAGTAAGTGCACTTGAGGCTTAAATGGTGTTTATTCAGTTTTGATTGTTAGTTCCAATGTGTTTATATTGGTGTAACTCTTTTGCTTTTTAGGCATTAAGGAGTATACTTGACTCTGGTAAAGAACTTGGGATGCCTGATGGAGTCCTCATCAATGGGAAGGGTCCTTATAAGTACAATAGCAGTGTACCTGATGGAATTGAATATGAAACCGTTAATGTTGAACCAGGTAACATCTTTCAGAGTTCTATTGTAACTTTGCTTACATTCTGTTTCCACCTAATCGAATCCTCTTTGAGGAGTTGTGAGCGTTAGATCTCCAGTTTAAGCTATTTGTGCTGTTTTATGAAGTCTTGCATTGAAATTCAAATTTGGCTATGAGACTTGTTCCCTCTTGCTTCATCTGAGTTACATTTTGCAGGGAAAACATACAGGATCCGTGTTCACAATGTTGGTATCTCGACAAGCTTGAACTTCAGGATTCAGAACCACAAACTGCTCTTAGTTGAAACTGAGGGTCGCTACACTTCCCAAACAAACTTCACCGATTTCGACATTCATGTGGGACAATCTTACTCTTTCTTGGTCACCATGGACCAAAACGCCTCAAGTGACTACTACATTGTGGCGAGTGCTAGATTTGTGAATGAAACAGTGTGGCAAAGAGTCACAGGTGTTGGCATTCTCCATTATTCCAACTCCAAAGGACGTGCTTCTGGTCCTCTGCCCGTTCCATCAACTGATGTTTCTCACCCTTGGTCTGTAATGAACCAACAGAGGGCCATAAAGTATGTGTAGAAAACTCTTCAAGCAAGTAGATGTTGAACTCTAGGCATGTGAATATAATAATGCTGACTCTTTTCATATGCAGGCAAAACACATCTGCTAGTGGAGCTCGTCCAAATCCGCAGGGATCATATCACTACGGACAGATAAATATCACTAAAACATACATCTTTAGGAGTATGCCTCCAACCAAAATCAACGGGTCGCTTCGTGCTACGCTTAATGGGATTTCATTTCTGAATCCAAGCACTCCCATAAGGCTTGCGGATAACTATGAAGTGAAAGGAGCCTATAAGCTGGATTTTCCAGATAGACCTCATGACAATAGACCTCCCCGTTTGGACAGGTCTATCATCAACGCAACATACAAGGACTTCATTCAAGTTATCTTCCAGAACAACGACACCAAAGTCCATAGCTTCCATATTGATGGATATTCGTTTTACGTCGTTGCGTAAGAAAACATGCCACACTCATGAGCATATTTATTACATTGTTTATCAGTTTAAATTCCTCTGACATGATTTTTCAAAAACTGATATTTTCAGGATGGACTTTGGTAACTGGACTGAAGACAGGAAAGGTTCATATAACAACTGGGATGCAATATCACGAAGCACGATCGAGGTTTGATTCAAATCTGCAATCTAATTTGATGGTAAAATGTTGGAGTTTTTACTTAATTGGATTTGTCTTGTGTTTCATGTTTGCTTCAGGTTTACCCAGGGGCATGGACTGCTGTGCTTATGTCCCTCGATAATGTCGGAGTCTGGAACATCCGAGTTGAGAATCTTGACAGATGGTATCTTGGCCAAGAAACATACATGCGAATCGTAAACCCCGAGGAAAACGGCAAGACAGAGATGGATAAGCCTAAAAATGCTCTTTACTGTGGTGCTCTCCAAGGCTTGCAGATGTAAGCAACAGAAAACTTCACTCTCTCTTCTTCTTTCAATATTACCTCTATAGATGAGTTGAAAATCTAAAGACACTCTCTTTCTAATTTGGTTATTTCCTGCAGAGCACAGCACCATAGCTCTGCATCAAAGATACTAAATGGACAACTGGATCTAATTTTCAGCTTAATGATGGTTTTGCTCGCCATTGTTTCAGCCTTTTGCTGACTCTTTTGCAGCATTCTCTAATCTTCTCTTCCCATTGGTTAGGTTGTATGAAAAAATGTTGGGCTCTTTTCTTTTTCTTCTTTGATTTCATTGATTATTTCTTATGTACTCAGATTCACCTTCTCATGGTGAGAGGGTTTGTGTCTAAAACGCATCTATCTTCATAGTTATAGGTCATTTGGGATTCTAAACTCTTCTCTACTGTAACTAAAACCTCTCTCTTTTATGGGTCTTCTACATAGGTAAAACTTCATTCTCATATTAAGCATAATGAATTATATTCAGATTCGTAAAAATTTCACATCATCGTAAATCAAGCACGAAAAAGAAAAAAAAAAACAGAGATGGCCTTAGAGTCCGGAAGTGAAAGGTATTCTGGTGCTTGGGAGCCACGCATTACCGGCGATGAATCTTCCAACAGTGAAAGCAGATGCATCGGAAGCTCTCTTCAACACATGAAACCCTTTCCAACGAACACGCCACCTCGTGGACGAAGCCGGTCCGGTATTCTTATACTCGGCATAGAACAACGTGTCTAAACCAAAAACCGAACCTTCAATCCACGGTGACCACCCGACCGGACTCACAACACTATCCAAATACGTCTGAAGAACCACGGTGCGCGAGTACTTCATCCAAGGCCGGCCCATATACGTCTTAACCGTACTGAGCACCGGTTTTAGATCAGGAGCCGGTAAGATTCTTGAGTTATGGATAGAGATCCCTGTGTTCTGAAACGGATCAGCACGGCCTTGCGCGGTTATTACATTGGCTTGGCCTTTGAGTGGTCTGCGAGGGAGGATAAGACAGTTTTGGAAAACCGCAGCTGCGTTTCCGAAAATGAAATCGACGGTTCCGTATATGTAGCAGTCTCGGTAAAACTGACGTTGTGAATGGACCATCAACGTGTCTTGGTATCCTTCGATTGAGCATTTGTAGAAGATTGAGAGGTCTGAAGATGACCGGAGCGCCACGGCCTGGCCCTTGGCCGGCCCGGCCGTGTTCCGGAATGTTAAGCCTTTGGCTATGAAGTGAAGTCCTTCTATACCTGTATCACACGCAATTTAGCCAAATGTTCATAAATGAAATACATTTTTTTTATATGGTAACGCTTACTCATTTTGCGGGAAAATAAACGGTTACGTTTTAGTTTTTTTTATCTTCTCTTGAGGGTACTGACAATAATTTATGACGATCCCAGTTTATGATTTAACTTGGACGTCTCCAACATGAATGTTATCGATTAGTAAAACTCAATTCATAAGGAATATTCGATTTTTTTTTAAATTATTATTACGTCATCAAGAACTTGTTAGATCCAATCCATGCATTAACTAATAAATGAATAGATAAAATAAAATATAGAAGAATTAAATTATTTACCGGCAGTGGCGGAATTGTAAGTGGTGTAACCACCTTTGACACTACGACCACCGGTGATAATGGTGGATCTCATTCCATCTCCGACCAACATTATGTTATCGTTATTGAGACGTACGTTTATGTTTTCTTGATATATCCCTCTCTTCACGTATATAACAAACCTCCCTGACGTCACTTTTCTCCGTCCAGCCACGTCAATTGCCGCTTGCACCGTCGTGAACTGTCCTGATCCGTCTTTGGCCACCACGAGGTTAGCTCGGACGGTACGCGTGGGTTGCAGTTGTAGAAGTTTCCTATCTTTACCGGAAACCCACGTCGGAAAACCCTTCTGGTCAGAACCGGTGGTGCCGTTGTTTCCGGTGGTTAAGAGGGCTCCGTTGACGGCTAAGCAGTTGCTGATGAGGTGGGAGATTTTGGTGTTGGAAACAATGGGTGTGATGAAATCTGAGACGTTGAAATCTGATGAGCCTCGTCGGCAAGTCTCCGTGTTTGTAAGTGCGGTGCTCAGCCAGGTTTGAGCGTCGAAGTCAGTGCACCGTTTTCCGGAATCGGTTTTTGGAGACACTCCTTCCAGCGTCCGGTTTAGCTGCAAGACAGTGTCTCCGTAGAGGTCAATGCAATCTGCCAAAATAGCTTGTTTATGGCAATCGGTGCAATTCCGCCCGGAATTAGTTAATTCGTCCCGGGCGGATATAGCCCGATCCATAGCTGCTTCCACCAGCATTACTCGAAACTCGGATAGCTGTGTCGGCAGTCCAAAACCATTGTGGTTTTTGAAATAGCATTTGCATGGATCAGGGTAAGAAGTTTTGTTGCACCACCAGTCAATGCCAGTGGTGGAATTGCCGTCCGCTACGGTGATGAGAGGATGGAGACATATTAGTAAGAGTAATAGTAAATGTAGAGAAAGAAAAGAGAGTTTGTGCATCATCACATTCGTGAGTGTAATTCAAAGTAAATTGTTAGAGACTAGAGAGTGGGAACATGACGCCACTCTATATTTAAATATTGTGGTGGTTTTAACATTAATGCAAAACAAGCAAACAAAATTTATATTGCAAGGTCATGAGTAGATCTAGCTTTGCGTCTACATTGTTTATAACTCGACGGCTGTTTTCGTATTGCGTGAACGATTCTTCTATCACTACATCGTTTAAATTATTACTTAATCTTAGTTTTACAAAATATAATTATTGTAAAAGAAGTAAGCTAAAAGAAACTGGCTCTAGCTTAAACAATTATACTTTTTCCTTACTTCGAATACCGACAGGTCCGGTAATAAAACGATCTGCAGTGATTATAGCTAGAAGAACGCCGTAAGAGATCTTAGATACTTTAAATAAATTTAAATTAATCCGACAACAATTAAGTATCGTCACTTGAAGGTATTAAATAATATTGGTAACATCCAATAAGTAAAAGTCATAAGCAAACGCTTAGTTGTTCATACCATTAGCCATTTAATTATCTTCTCTCCAGATGTGAATCCGTTACTTCACATGCTATTTATATCTTCAACCACCATAATCAACTAGTGTTAGACTCAAATCTACAATAAATGCAAAACCTGTACGTTCTCAAAAAAAAAAAGAAAAAAAAACAAAAACAAAAACAACAACCAAACCTGTAAAGATATTTTTCTTTGTCTAATATATCAACAAGACTAGAGTTTAGTGTGTTTCTATTAATTAACATTTTTTTTCTTTGTTCAAAACATCACCAAGAATGTAGTTTAGTGGTTTCTGTTAATTTCTTTCACCATATTATCAACGTGATTTTCCTCTGTCGTTTAGGTTAAATATAGTTAAGATTTTTAGACACGATGACAACTAATTTTCGTCGATCTAATATATATTCCAAAAAATTCTAAAAATAGACGAAGTCCATAGAACAATTCAGAATATATAAAAACAAAAAAATATTACGTAATGATTTTTGTTTTTATTTTTTTCACACAAAAAAAAAAGATTCTCTAATTTTTTTAAGTCTAGAACTTGTATCACATCATTCACATATATAAGTTGCCTCATAAATTCTTAAATATGTTTTTTTCTATCTAAAATCATATATTTAGTATTTCACTATAGAATAATTATAATATGCATTTGGAATAATTATATAATTTAATTTATGATGAACATTCAACTTGTCGAGAAAGATAACATGTTCGTCTTTTCTAATTAATACTTAGATATAAATAACCCAATGAGCCATGTGATCCTTCGAGTGTCCATGCACACACTCTCACGCAATCACCACATTTCTCGTACACCCCTCCTCAATTCCTCATGCATTTTTCTTATTTTTATGACAGGATATATCATCTTACAGTTCTAAAATTAGATCTAGCAGGAAACAGTTGTTTCATCACGGAAAAACAAATTTATTTATCAAAGAGGTAGTATACTATGTTCTCAAATATCTTTATATATGTTATGTTATACTAAACTCTAGGGTTTGTGCAAGTCATTACCAAGATTAGAGATTTCAGCTGAAAAAATCGCCAAGAACATTGACCTACGAACAATTAAGAACGTAAGATTCACCAAAACTAACTGTGAACTATATGAATTTAGTGTGTGCTTCCTTAACCAATTAGCAAAAGAATGCTACATGTAACAGACTTTCCGACAATTAATTACATGCTGTCCTTGACGTTGAGAACTGTGGACTCTGAGAAGCTCTCTCTCTAATCATTGTAAGCGCTCTTTATACAAAAAAAAACATGAGACTTACGTACCTCTTCTTGAACTACTTTCCTAATGTTATCTCATTTTTTTGTTCCAAATTAGCACTTGTCAGGTTTACACTCAAACAGAACACAAACAACTTGAAGGATCTATATATTTGGTGTCGCGCTCACAGCGAGTTTCAGAGTCTTCCGCTTACGTGTCGGCTGCAAAAAAACCGTTTAGCCCTATTTTCCAATTACGTGTCATTTTTTGATTCATTCTTATCTGATGACGTGTAAAAAAAACTTAAAACAAACCGGTCTAAATTATTATTGTTAAATACTTAATTTCGATGTCAAATCAAACAATTTTTAAAATTATATTAAACCGAAATTTATAAAAAAAACAAAAATGTTTTTTTTTAAATAACACAAAAAAAAATCTATATCTCTTAGTATTTACCATTTTTTATGTTTCCAAAATTTAGAAAAAATCTAACAAAAATGTTAAAAGAAACAAAAATAGAATCTATTGCTTACGTGTCGCGCCCAGAGCGAGTTTCAGAGCTTTTCGTTTACATGTCAGCTCTAAAATGAGTTTCAGCTGCAAAAATACTGTTTAGCCATATTTTCCAATTACATGTCATTTTTGATTCGTTCTTATCTGATGACGTGTAAAAAAAAACTTAAAACAAACTGGTCTAAATTAATATAGTTATATGATTAATTTCGCTGTCAAATCAAACCGTTTTTAAAACTATGTTAAACCAAAATTTACAAAAACAAATTAACCAAAAACGTTTTTTTTGAATAACACAAAAAAGGAATCTATATCTCTTAGTATTTACCATTTTTTATGTTTCCAAAATTTAGAAAAAAATCTAACAAAAATGTTAAAAAAACAAGAAATGGAATAAATTTTAAAATTAATGGAATGTCATTTCAAAACAAAAAAAAACAAAATTTAACAAAAAATCTAACAAAAAAGTTTTTTAAAAAAAAATATAATATATATCTAATTAATGGAGTGTTGTTTAAAAAAACAAAAAGAAAATCATGATTATAAACCACCTACATCGTTTAAAAAATATAATAATTATATGGGTAAAATTTCTCTTATTTGTATTTTTGTTGACAACTATAACTAATTTTAGAACCATGATTTTAAATCACCTCTATCATTACTATTTTGTAAGAAAACAGGTTTTACAAGTGATTTGCTTACATGTCGCGCTCAGAGCGAGTTTCAAAGTCTTTTGCTTACGTGTAAGAGTTTCGACTACAAAAAGACTAATTAGCCCTATTTTTGAGTTACGTGTCATTTTTTTATTTGTTCTTATCTGATGACGTATAAAAAAACTTAAAACAAATCAGTCTAAATTATTATAGTTAAATGCTTAATTTTCCTGTCAAATCAAACCGTTTTTAAAATTATATTAAACCAAAATTTATAAACAATTAAACAAAAACGTTTTTTTTTTTAAATAACACAACAAAAAGGAATCTATATCTCTTAGTATTTACCATTTTTTATATTTCCGAAATTTAGAAAAAAACTAATAAAAATGTTAAAAGAAACAAAAATTGGAATCTATTGCTTACATGTCGCGCTCAGAGCGAGTTTCAGAGTCTTTCGCTTACGTGTCAGTTCTAGAATGAGTTTCAGCTGCAAAAAACTGTTTAGCCCAATTTTCCAATTACATGTCATTTTTTTGATTCGTCCTTATCTGATGATATGTAAAAAAAACTTAAAACAAGCTGGTCTAAATTATTATAGTTAAATGCTTAATTTCGCTGTCAAATAACACCAACAAAAACAAAAGAGAGAGTACCAAAAAAAAAGAGCTTCCTCTCTCTCGAGCAATGGCGATGAGATTTACGAATCTTAGGTCCTAAATGGAGATTCTAGATCGGTGGCTGGATTATTGCGGTTCGAACGGAGGAGATCGGTCCATTAATGGTAACAGCACAACAATGGAAGTTGTACGGGATTGCTAAGATTCTGGGGCTTTTGATAAATCTTATCATTATCAAAATTATCGGCAAGCTAAGGTATGATGGAAAGAGAGGATCAAAATCCGAATGTGAGAATGCGGCTCAATCAAATCGACAGGGAGCAAAAGGATCTCGTTTCCTTCGATGGAGTATACGGATCACTGGTCTTCAAAAACCATTTGACTCGATGGCTGTTAATCTAGACGGGAACACGGACCTGAGGGGATTTTATCAGAGATATAGGCGAGTTGGGACTAGGAAAACATCAAGGAAAATCCACTTTGCCAATCAGATCCTCAATCAAGGGTATCATTTTCAAGGATTGGAAGAAACCCATCGTTCACGGCCTTTATAAAGAAGAGAGCAAAAGGCGTTAAGCACCATCTCACCTGTTCTTCTATATCTTCTCACATCTGTCCCCAAACCTTTTCCTCACCACCACAACCCACAACGATGTCCCAAAGCAACGGGAAATGCATCCGGAAAAAAAATTGAGGTTTCACAAAAGAGGTTGAGAGTTTCGGTGTCACATTTTGATAACTCAAACTTGATCGCGGGCTACTCCAAAACCTTGATAGGGAGATGCATGAATCCTCAGCTGCAGGATATGAAGGCACTTCTTTACATGCTTCCAAGGATCTGGAAAGTTGAAGAGAGAGTTGTTGGAGCAGATTTGGGACTCGGAAGGTTCCAGTTTATGTTTGATCGGGAAGAAGACATTACAGAAGTGCTGAAGATGGAGCCATTTCACTTTGACTACTGGATGATCTCCTTAGTGAGATGGGCACCGGTGGTGGATCCATCATATCCATCTGCGATCACTTTCTGGGTTCGTGTCATTGGAGTACCACTCCACTTCTGGGCTGATCCAACCTTTCGAAGTATCGGGAAGGCTTTGGGGAAGGTCGAAGCGGTGAATCTCGATGAGGGCAAGGTTCAAGTAATCATAGATGGGCTTAAGCCTCTCTGTTTTGAAACGAGTGTGGAATTCCATGGAGGAGAAGAAACAACAGTGTATCTACGGTATGAAAGGCTCTTTGGTTACTGTCGCACCTGTTACAGTCTCTGTCATGAGCAACAAAAGTGTCCATCTCGGCAAGTTGATACTGATCGGAACAGAAAGGAGGAGCTACCGGAGGATCCAAAAAATGGGAAAGGAGCAATCTCCTACAAAAATGCGGTTGCTCATGGAAGTAATAAAGAACCAGTAAAGTATGGAGGATCAAGCTCCTCAAGCAATGGGTATTACAAAAATAAAAAACATG